GAGTTATTTTTAATAGGCTCTTAGTATTTATGGAGAAGATAATCTTTATCCATTATATGGAATGAGGATCCGCCAATCACATATGTTCATCGTGCATCATGCAATCACAAATCATTATAAATTTTTTATTTAAAATTAAATATAAACAGTACCTGACGAAAACTAACCGCACGACGTTTAATAAACGAATATGATTGGAGGATATTCCATTATATGGATTCCAAAGTGATGATGGCGCATTAATGCTCCTTTAATTATATAAAATTTTCATGTCCGCCTAGTTAAGATGTCTTTGAAAGTTTAGACTTTTCGATTAGTTAAAAGATAATATAATTAAATTTGCAGCCCTTGTCAAATAAGTGGTGCCACAAAATGCATGCTTTGTAATGTCATTGGCACGCATTAAACCTAATTAGGGTTTATTAATGTTTGTGCTAGCTTTTTATGCAAGAGGATCCTCTCCTGAGCATAGGATGGGGATCCTCCTGACCACAAAATCCGGGCCGTTCAATTTTAATCCAACGGTTGCATTATTATAACTTTTTAGGGGACCCCCTGTTTAGAGTCGTTGGATTAAAATTGAACGGCCCAAATTTCGTGGTCAGGAGGATCCTCATCCTGAGTTTAGGAGAGGATCCTCTTCCGCTTTTTATGTTTCTGGTCAACTAGCACTTGAAGACGAAAAGATATCCTCTCCAAATTTCTCCCACCAAAGTCATCAAATTCACTCATCCGGACTTTTGAAATTTGATTAAACGGTTACAAATAGATGACCCCTTAAAAGTTATAATAATTTTAACCGTTGAATCAAATTTCAAGGGTCCGGATAAGTGGACTTGGTGGCTTTGGTGGGAGAGATCTTGAGAGGATCTTTTCCCCTTGAAGACACATAAAACCATTTTACAGGCTCACTAGTCACCATTTTATATGATAATATTTTAATATTTTTGTTTCTGATATATGTGATAATTTAACCCAACAGATCCTCTTCGGATTCTATTGGTGATGATCATAGGAATTCGTGAATCGTATCCATTCATCGTACATCGTGCGATCAGTTTTTGTTAGGTACTGTTTGTGTTTAATTTTAAATAAAAAAATTTAAAATGATTTTTGACCGCACGGTGTACGATGAACGGACACGATTCACAGATTCTCAGAATCTTCACTAGTCACCATTTTATATGATAATATTTTTTTCTTCTGATATATGTGATAATTTAACTGGTTGTTTTGATATAGGCCCTAGAAGGCTAGAACTTATATTATTGAGTAAATTATAGTTTGCACTCTCAAGTTTTTGTTTAATTTCAAATTCACATAATGTATTTTAACTTTTTTCAATTTCAAACAATGACTATGATTTCATCACAACCTTATACATCAGTTAGTCATCTGTAAACCTAATCGCTAAGTAATGACGTGACAAATATCAAATTCATAGTTGACCTAGAAAGTTCCAGGAGGTGAGAATCGGAAAACTTGCAGTGTGGACATATATGAGAAATAACCACAAGGGAGAAGGATAGGGAGAGAGAGAGAGAGAGAGAAAGAGAGCAGGAAGAGGATGAGGAGGAAGAGACGGATGCTGATGGTGATGAGGTGCGATGGTGGTGGTCGGTATTGGGTGGGCGAGGGCGGTTGGGTTTTGTGTTCACTTTGTTGTTTGTTTTTTAAACTCTTGTTAGAGTTTTATTTTTTATTTTGTGACAGTAACAATGTTAAAGTGAGAGTTTATGAGTGGACGTATGCCACGAAATTAGCCTCATAGACGCCACAATTCTTTTTAGGGGGTAGAAGATTTGAACTCAGTATTTTAAGTATTCAGAAACTGCAAAATGGGTAGAGTCAAACAAAATTAATAAATTTGCTCATAGTTTTATTTAAGCAAAAAAAAAAAAAAAACAAAAAAAAAACACTGTATATATAGAGAAACTTGAATTTCAGGGTTTGAAGTCAAATTTTCGGTAATTTAAATGCTGTTAATTATAAATAACTCATATTAGAAAAAATTACACCAAAACTAAATAATGGTTTTTTAGCCAAAGTGGTCCCTGAGATTTGCATAACTCCTCACTTTGGTCCATAAGATTTGAAATCGATAGAATTGGTTCCTGAGTTTGTCCACAAGCAATCATTTTGGTCATTTCGTGAAAAATCTCTATAAAATAAGGGTAAAATGATAAAAATACCATCATTTTTTGTCAAATCATTTTGGCCTATTGTTTATTAATGAGGGTAGTTTTATCATTTTGATTCTTATTTAACATAATTTTTTACCCAAGAACCAAAATGATTGATGGTGGACAATCTCAGGAACCACTTATATTGATTTCAAATATCAGAGATCAAAGTGAGGAGTTACGCAAATCTCATGAAACATTTTGACTAAAAAGCCCCAAATAATCTTGCAGGGACATAAGAAGGATCAATAGATAGGTGTTGTTGAAATCATCGTATACAGTATAGAAGGGGCGAATATTTGTATTAGGGTTTGATTCCAATACCTTTCATTTGGACGGGAATTTGGAAGAACAGGATGTGTGCTCAGGCTGGAATATACCTATATATGTACGTATGTAAAGTGTGTGTGTGTGTATATATTATATAATATAATAAGAGGAAGTTTAGATATTTTTACTGGCATGTTGCTTCATAAGCTGTATATGCGCTGGTGCTCTGTGTGTGAGAATATTTTTCTTATAAACCAATAGTATTTAGTACATGTTAAATTTGTAAACTGATTGCTGTTTTTAATATCATAATCACAATGATCATCGTCTTCAAGTTGTTTTCTCTTTTACCTTTTTTTTTTTTTTTTTTCGATACGGAATTTAAACTAGTAGATAATTGTGTGAGAATAAGAAGTGTTGTGCCACATATGAACAATAAGAAATTTTGTATGCACTTACAAAAATGTGTTATTTTTGTCATAGTCAATAAATTTTAAGATGAAATCTTAACTTTATTCGAATAAAAGCCTAAGAGATGTAATGATCTGGCTGTGAATGAATGAGATCCACTCCGGATTTTTGGTGTTCGAAACTTATGAATTGAAAGATCTAGATTGTTCAAGAGAGAAAGAGTGAGATAGTGAAATAGGCTAACGATGGTTGTAAAATTGGAATTGAACGGTTCGATCTTTCATTAACAGACTCCGAACACAGAACTTTGAAGTAGATCTCAATCCGGCTGTGAGAGAATAAAACCATGGAAGAAGAAATGAAGTGATGATATTCATATCATGGCATGCATGGGCATAGGAGTGGGCGTGGGAAAAGCCGAAAAGGAGTGAGGAGGGAGATTGAGATAGGGATATGATGGATTGAGAGAAATCCATCAGATATATACACACTTGTCACGTCAACCAAAACTTTAAAGGGCCGATTATCTCCCTTTGCTTCCAAATTAATTTATAAATTATTTACCAAAATAATTTAGTTATAATTTTATAATTATTTATAATAGACGAAAATATTATTCTAATCGACTAATCAATAATATAAGGTTTTCAATCGGACTGAGGACATATACTGGAGAGATTTCTGGACTGTTTAGACCATCTTCAATTAAAGGGTTCAAAAGGTCAAATGGCAAAAAATAGTTCGAAAATCGTCTCTAACGGAGGGTTAGGCCATAGAGGTCGTGGACCCCACGAGACAAAAAAGGACCAACCGACTGGCCCAATCCAGTCAGCCTTGTGGGCTGGATTTTTCATTATTAATACATTTTCTGTCGGCTGTATCCAACAGTATTGTCCTTTTTTTTCTCTTTTTCTTTTTTTTTTTGGGCCAAATTTAAAAAAAAAAAATCCACTTTTTTTTTTCCTATAAATACCTAGGTCATTCCTACATCATTTTCACCATTTTTAAATTTAAGTTGTTGTAGTTTTTAAATTTAAATAATAAATTATATTTGGCTCCTTAGCCCTCGGTGGGAGACTCTTTTTTGTCACAGAGCTAAAACGAGCCCTATGGCCCTTGGTTGGAGATGGAGGCAAATATGGTCATATACTGTTTATTAAAATATTAATATCTTGAAGGACCAGAATGCTAAAACGAGCTATCTGGCCAATTTTCGGTTGGAAATGACCTTATACGATGAGGTCCCCCACCCTACTACCATGCCACTGAGTTAAGGCTAGGGCTTAGCTGGCACCACTCTCTTTGCCTTGCCCAAGTCCGAAGGGGCAATTGACCAACATAACTATATAAGTCCCAAGGGACAAGGGCTAGTCTGTTTTTTTCAAATAAGTATCTTCTTCAAATTTTTTTTTTTTTTTAAGAATTTTAAAGATTTTTTAATCACATTCGTTCATCGTATATCGTGTGATCAGTTTTTATAAAGTATTTATATTTAATTTTAAATATAAATTTAAAATAATTTCTAACTGTACGATATACAATAAACAGATGTAATTAAATGATCTTCGAGATCCTTACAAAATGAACCCTCATTCGTCTTTTTCCCCCAACTTTTTCTTAAACTTTTTTATTATTTTATATATATTTTTACTCCCTCATTTGTTAACCATCTGCTGTAGCAAAACACGACTTTGGATTTGTTATTCCACTCCTGGCAGCGGAACAAGCTTAAAAAAATTATTTTTTACATCAATTTTTTATTTATTTTTGTATTTTTTTAAATTCAGCTACAAGAATTATCAAGCAGTGTACTTTCGTAGAATCACGCTTCCTATTTGGAGACTGAGGGCGAAAGCTTTGTCGTGCCCTTTTTAAAGAACCCACATTTTTTCCTATTCTATAACAATTGAGATTTTAAATTTGAATTTTCCGTCTAAGCGTGCGTTCATATCAACGAGAATGCTCAATTAGGTTAACATTAAAAAACAATAAGCAGAAAGTAAATGTATTGTTAAATTACAGACCACCTTTCTTCAACAGTAGACTAGTTACATGCAACAGAAGAGAAGTGACTTTAACTAGAGGGGAAGAGATCCCATCCAGATCTCTCCCACCAAATCCTAAGGATCCGGAGATCCAGACCCTTGAAATTTGTTTCAATGGCTACAAACAAGGATCCCATATAAGTTATAATAATTGTAGCCATTGGATCAAATTTCAAGGATCCACATCTCCGGATCCCTAGGACTTGGTGGGAGAGATCCGGATGGGATCTCTTCCCTAACTAGAGAACCCCAGAAGCTGCAGGAAAAATTAGCACCTTCTGAATACCGTTTGTGGCACCTCCGTTATCATTCACAATCGGTGCTCTTTGCCTTCAGCTACTGCGGGATGCTATCCAAATACTGCTTCACGCGTGTTTGGTTCATCTCGAATATGAATGGCATTCCCCGTATCTGCAAAATTCATCATTTGCAAGAAATCGTTTAGTTAAGTACTGGTTTGGTACTGATATGCTTTTATAAAAAGTGGGTATCAAAAAAAGTTGAGTTCAAAAAGGTGTTTGGTAAACACTTAAAAATAGTTTATTTTCACAGTTTTGGATGAAAAAAAGTTGAAAACATGAAGCAGTCAAAATGAGATGAGTTTATTCTCATAGCACAGCAGAAATAATTTTTTTTTCAAAGTGCAGCAATACCAAACCAGCCCTAACTACGATGCGATCAAGCTACCCTAAACATTCTTTTATGTGATTATTACGGCAGGAAAACCGCAATCTATTTGAAACAAATTTCGAGGTATGACGATCAAGACTTAGGCACAGCCACAGAGACACATTGCACCAAAAAAAAAAAAAAAAAACAGCTAAGAAATTCAAAGAAAAACTAAATTTTAGCAAACTAAGAACATACCTCGATCAAGCAACTTGAACTAAGGCTTAGACTTTGTCCGGGGGCTACTTCCTTGCTATTTACCGAGATTGAACACTTCCCAAGATTTTTCAGATGGAAGGATCCATCTTTGTCCATATTTATCATTGCCTAACAAATGCAGAAAAAATCAATTTTTGCGCTCACTTGAAGACAAACCAAAATGCATGCCCTTTTCTGGGGTTAGCAAGAAGATGTAAACCGCATAATCTGAAGACACCTAAGTTCGGTTCTGTAATTGTTATCGTGATTTAATGAACTAAATCGTAAATGTCCAAATGATTTCTTTTTTCCACATCACTGAGAACATTACGTAGAACAAACTTTTGAAAGGAAAGGAAAAGGCAAGTAACTGCATCACTGGTATGGTAAGTTAAAGTGCTCAATAATATTATTACCTGTTTTCGAGATATCTTATTACCACGCCCTTCGCTTCCCAAGTCAATATCAACAACAGCGTCGTCTGTTGCTCTACCCAATAAAACCTGCAGATATAGATTGCTATTCAATTATTCATTCACAGAATCAACACATGTCTGACATAAACTAATTCGACCATCAGTTTTCAATTTTCGATTAAATATGCATGTCATAGCAAAACCTAGATGGATCCCTATGGCAAAGTGATTAAGTTTTACACAGAACTCTTGCCCCATAATGCAGCTATGGGGTGAAAACTTCCCAACCCCAGATAGCGGAAAAGAGAAAAGAAGGGTCCATATGGCCAACCCCAATTGGGTTGGGTAAAAATTTACAGAGCAAACGAAATACCTCAGGCTTCTGAATGTAATGCTTAGAATGATGTCCATACAAAATGGCAAATGCTCCGTGAGAAGCAGTGGCTCTTTGCAAATATGAATAAGCACACTGCTCCAGCCGTATGATTGTCCTCTTAGCATCCTCATTCTGATATTTTGAGACTGCATATAGAGAACAGCATAAAATCACAATTTTTTAGGCATACTGATGCAGTGAGCCTCCATCAAATATGATGCAATCGCTTTACAGAAAATATTAGTTCCTTGATTAGGAATGTTCTATATGTTTCAAATAATCAACAAATGCAAACATTTTCTATTGTGATGCATTGCAAACTTGTAGATCACGAATAATTCCGACATCATTGAGTATAGATACCATATCATCTGTCAGTTAAGCATGAATGCCGCATAATAAACAAACTATTTTCCATTAACAAAACTCATTGCATTAATGCATACCATTTATTACAGGATTTGATATGCAGAAGGGAAGTACCAATAAGATTATGTTAATGCATACCATTTTAGAGGATTTGATAGGCAAAAGATAAAGTACGGATTAAGTCTGTATAAAGGAAACAAGTAATGAGCTGGTCATTAGATGTATAATAGTTTGACCAAGTATTACCTTCCTCGCTAGAGTACAACTCCTGGTCATATGGGTCCAAATCCATATCAAGTACCTGCAGGTGGAACAAAAGTCAATGAAACAAAAAGATGAACTACGAAATTGATAAGCAAATCAAATGTTCATCGACAAGATGATTCGCATTTTAGCACTTACCATTGCCTCTATATCGGAATAACATGGTACATCATCATCACTCTCAAAAATCCCCAGTTGATCTGATGTCTCAGGGTTTAATTGTGCTTCAGCAATCCCTCCTGTATGTAATGATTTATTGTCTCTAATTGTAGCTGATGGATCAAGCTCCTGTTTAATGACACCGGAATCTGGTTTCTCCACATGAAACTCAGTTGAGTTATAATTGAGAAGCTTTGCCGATATACTTTTTTCTCTAGTGTCTTCCTTCAGGATTCCAGGTTGAACACTTGTACTTGGATTGGCTGAATAAATTTGACCCAGAACTTCACTAACATGACCTGCATTCTTAGATGCCACTTCACTGGCGTCAGTCTTAGACAGCTCAAATTTCACCCCGAAATTACCTAGTGGAGGTTTTAGACCCTTTTCTTGTAAGAAGTGTGATCCTTTAATCTGAGAGGTACTATGTGGTTCTCCAAGATTTTTTCGCTCTCTGTGCATAAAGCATGACCCTGTGTCATTATTTCTCTTATTAACAGGGAAACCTCTAGTGGACAAAGATAATGGCTTATCCACTTCAGAAGTTGATGGACGATTTGGTAGAAAAATATCATCGTTGCATGGAATTTCTGGGTCCTCGGTGTTTAATGGGCAGCAGATAACTCCATCTTTCAATTCAGGATTTTGATAGTTCGAAGCAGTTGAAGATGATAGCATCGGAGTCTCTGAATGGCAAACCATATCTTCATCAGCATTTGGGGATCCTCTATTATCATCTACCACTCCAGGATACGTACTAGGGGGATTCATGGAGTCCATAACTGGAGCTACAGATGTTTCTGGCTCAGATTTGACGATCGTCTGTTCTTGATGAACCCCATCTTTCGGTGACCTCAACAAAAGGGAGCTCAAGCCATCATAGTAAGACTTATCAATCACATCTTTTCCATCAGCAGTCATAAGCATGAGCTCCTCGTTCGTAAAGTTTAAAAGCGAATTGGACAGTTCTGCCAAATAACCTTCAGTACTAACAGGAGCTGCAGAACTCTGGAAATCACCACATGGCATTTCAGCGTCCACCTCAATCCTAATATGAACTTCAGTCTCTGATGTCCTTGCACTGTCAGCATCGATATTCTCATGAAGTTCAAAAGCATCGCTGGTGCACATATTATTTTCTCTAAGATCAACATCGACTGGCATAGCTGGAAGTGGACATGAATACTCCAAGTTGTTAAACAATGCACCACTGTCTGAAACAGGTGAATTAAAGGCCTTATTCCCTTCAAATTCTGTGCACATATTTCCCTCGTTGCCATTAATTTGATCAAGTGTAAATTTCATTCCCAAGTCATCAGCATTGAACAGGCTGCAATCTGGCAATCCCTCTGGATGATTGAATTCATCCACCTCAGATTCATTCCATGTCATAATATCTTCATGTATATTACCTTGTTCCATATGAAAATCATTCCCATCTGGGTTCTGGAGCATATGAAAGGTATCATCAATGCCGACATTCATCAGATTTTGCATAGCATCCACATCTGACGTCTCAAGGCCAAAAGGGGCTGAGGTCGGATCTCCATTCATGCAATTTCCATAAAGAGGTTCATCTCCATTTCCATGATAGTTGTTATTACTGGGTGCAACCAGAAAATTAAGGCCCATGGAATTAAATGGCTCATTGCAAATCCTTTTACGCATTGCATAGTAACTACTACGAACACTTTCAGCCTTTCTCTTTCCAGATTCGCATTTTTTTTCTTTTGAATTTCCCGACCTGTCAAATGGAACAGTTGTGGTGGAACTCTCAAACTCAATCATGCGAGCAGAAGCATCTTCAGAAACTACTGGATCATACAGGAGAGAATACCACCGATCTTGCAGCTCACGAACAGTAAATCTTCGAGAAAAATGCACTGCACCTTTAGCAAGCGACTCCAACGAAGCACCATCCTGCAAACAGAGCAAAAGAATACCAAGTCCGAATATAACTTTTGAGAATACTAACTTCCTGATAAGCTTTCCTTGTATGATAAATATATTACAAAATTAAAACCGGGATTCTGAAAAGTACCAAATCCTAATTTATTTCCGAAAGGGGAACCCGGGCAGTTCCCCTCCGACGCAACACAGTTAATAGAGGCGAATACTTGTTAATTCGACTAAGATACCGCCTATCTCAGTAGGAAAACCAGCAGTGACAATTGTTCTAGCACTGGACAACATAATTTCAACTGTATTCACCTTCAATTTTATCTAGCATTTGTCCAATTTACTGATTATGTTCCTCGATTTCAATCTTAAATACGAGGAAAGCTAAATCCATAACATATTCGGAGAACATAAACCCGAAATCGAAAGTTGAGGTTCCACCATAAAACCAATTGGCAATATGGGCAGTAGCCCAACCTCTTATAAGCCCATGCAAGATCCCTCCTCTCATCAATGTGGGACTCATTCCCAACACAACTCGAATTCATGCTTAAACACACTAAAACCCCAAGAATTTGAAAACCCAAAAAAGAAACATACATAATATGTATAACCAAAAGCAAATTACCAGAAAAATCCAGATTAATAATACACTGCGAGGATGCAAGAACATCAAATTTTCCGAAATTGAGAGTCGAATTGTACCTCAACAGCTTTCTTAAGCAGGATATCATCCGCCGGAATCCATTTAGAGAACGGAGCGAGAGCACCCATGGCCTCCGTCAGCCAGCCTCCCTCCCTTCCTCCCTCCCTCTCTCTCTCTCTCTCTCTCACTCTAGAGCGTGCTTGTTCACGGGAGCATGGAAAAAGCTTGAAGAAAGAGGAAAATTACGAAAATAGGCGCCCCGGGGGGTTGGGGGGGGGGGGGGGGGGGGCGGGGGTTGGAAGGCCTTCGTGGCAGCTGGAGGGGTTTAGAGGGAAAGAAAAAAAATATACAAGGAAAGGATTTTACAGAGGTTTTGTGAAACGTGGACGGCGGCGAATCGGGCGGTGGGGGCACCGCGTCGTGGTCTCAGATGACTTTTGGGTGGCGAGGTTTAAGGGTTTACTTGGGTGGGGCAATTAGAGCACGTGCCAACCCACTCAGCCGTTTCACCGTTGCCTCGGACTCCTATGCTCTTGGTTGACCGTTGACCCAAGAGTGGTCATCCGGAACTATGAACTGCACTAGTATTCACACATTTATATTTACTTGTCACATATGTTTTTCAATTTTTTATCGTCATATCAAATGAATTGAAAATGATTCATGATAAAATTCAATAAGGATGTATGAGATATAAAAATAAATGTGTGAATAGTACTTTTTGAAATATAAAGTGTCCTTTTTTCTGTTTGAAAGATTTACTTATATTGATGGACTTTATTTTTAATATAGAGGCGGTACAATTTGATGTCACCAACATTACTCCATTAAACAAGTGATGCAAATTAGCAAAGGAATGTGTTTTCTTTGTGCACTAAATTTTTAAGTGTAGATATACATTGTTGCGTTATTTGGGAAGTAGACGAAAAACTCCTAGGACCAACCATAAGAGAGTATCAAGAACAAACTCGCGCTGTAACAAGAGGGAGGGTGCTTAACCGCACTTGAACTCCATCCAAATTATGACCCAATAAAGCAAAAACATTCATCACAAAATACACTTTTGTGGCGTTTGTGACTATAAACTTTTTAAATATTCTACTTTGGTGAGAAAGGTAATGTCTTTTGGTACATAAGAAAGAATAAAGGCGAAGTGACCAAATTTCTTGTCAAAAGCTAATGGAGAAAAAAAGTTGTGATGGAGTTTTTGAACCGGAAAGGAAGCACATCAAACAAATCCAGTAGCTTTCAATTTTGTTGGGTGTCCACTTTCCCAAAAGGGCTTGTGGGGCCTTCCTATTTTGAAGGTCACACTTGAAATTTTTGAAAAGAAAATAAAATTTCCAAATCGTTATTCTCTCCTCTTTTTCTTCTTCTTTTTTTCCAAAAAAAAGACCAGTTGATACTATAGTCATCTTTCTGGAGGCCGAGAAGATTTACATAGGCATTTCAGCCTTCTCACGCACTAAGAACCAAACCAAGAAGGTATCGTATGGAATCCGGATCTAAAATTAATCTATAATTACTGAATCACCCCATGATAGTTAACTTGGATGTTATTCTTGAAACCCTCTAAAAAAAAAGAAACAGAAAAAAGGGAATTGAAATCCTATTTTGAAGGTCACACTTGAAATTTTTGAAAAGAAAATAAAATTTCCAAATCGTTATTCTCTCCTCTTTTTCTTCTTCTTTTTTTCCAAACAAAGGACCAATTGATACTATAGTCATCTTTCTGGAGGCCGAGAAGATTTACATAGGCATTTCAGCCTTCTCACGCACTAAGAACCAAACCGAGAAGGTATCGTATGGAATACGGATCTAAAATTAATCTATAATTACTGAATCACCCTATGATAGTTAACTTGGATGTTATTCTTGAAACCCTCTAAAAAAAAAAGAAACAGAAAAAAAGGGAATTGAAATCCTCTGTGTTAGGTCACATGGCCCAAACATTTAGGCCCAACCACATATGCAGCCCACCATAACAAAACGACATCGTGATAGGTAATACTGCGACTACAAGTCTACAACAAACAAGTTCAAATCTTAACAATACATGGGTAATTAACCAAATGTTTAACTAATTACTGCAGTGGTGGTGGAATCTGATGCAGCTCCAGCAGCAATGCAGTGAAGATTAGTGGGATGCGATTGGTTACTACTTCGCAAATATGGGAGGTCCTCCTCCATTTGGTGAGCAGCCACACACTGAATCATAATCCCCTTCATTCTCTACTTATTCATAGTGTATACCGTCCCTCGCATACTAATTAATTAAACCAAAAACAAAAACAAAACAAACAAACAAACAAACAAAAAGATTTCAAAGGTCGGAAAAGAGTAAATATAATTTGATCAATTACAAGAGAGAGATTAAGTGCATACGAGTTCGTGGAGACTCATGTTTATATCTGCTTGGCTCTTTACCTATAGAGCAACAAACGGAGAAAAATGAGCGATTTCATTATATAGTACAACTTAAATAAGAAACGAGATCAAAAAAAGGAGAACGTGGTACGAGATATGATATTGACAATTGTGTAATCAATATATAGACATCATCATGATATGCGAAACATGTTGACAATGGCTAACATGTTGATATGTTTGCACTTTGTCGATATCGAATAAAAAAAACAAGTCAACTGATAAGACGGTCTAACTCACATTTTTTTCTCCCCAATTGAACCTTATATCAACCAAAGTAACTTAAAAAACATAGAAATTAATTAACAAAGGATTGGCAACTAGGTTTAGATGGTCAATTAGCTAGGGTTAATTACCTTTTTCTTGGTTGTATCAATCTTATTAGAGATCATCCGAACCTGTCCACCATCGTACACATATAGTTAATGTAAGATTAGGAAATTAAAACTCATCTACCCTACAGTCTAATATACACCTTAACTGTAAGAGGAAAGAGCTTTACCAACACAATCGGATATAACTGTGACGGATTAATGATATAATGTTATGTAAAACAGTTAAAACACATGATATTGTATCAATAATTGAGAATGCCACAGTAGCATCTCAAGGTGTAGGTAAGTCATTCTCCCTTGTAAGAGGCAGGGCGACCGTTGCCCTCGTAACCAATATAAACTAAATTCTTTATCTTCAAATGGTTTATAGGATGCATATTAAGAAGAGATTTTTATTTTTCAGAGTGCGAGAACACAATTCAATACATCAAATATTGTAATACAAGAAGTTGGATAGTTGAAAACGAAATATTTACGACCACTTGTATTATGACATTTAATGTACAGGGCCGTGTTACCAACTTTTGTTATATTAATAGTGACTTGCTCGGATTTTCCTTCAAACTAGCTATATCTGATTGGCTTTGAATTTACCACAGTAATCCCTCTAGAAGAATAATATCAATTAATTAAGAGCTACAACAATGGCAACACATATACAACCTTGCGCTGCCGAATGACGGCGACGGCAGCTTCCACCTCTTCCTGGAGACCACGCAGTTCATCGAAACTCAGATCGTTCAGACAATCCCCAACTCTCTGCCTACATATTATACTCCGATTAACTTGAAAAACAATAATTTAATCAGTAACAAATTGACTCCTATGCAGTGTTCTAAGAGTTCTCGTCTAGGCTCTACTTAAACGCCTAGGCGTTAGCCCATTGACTAGGGCCTCTTAGAACCTTGCTCCTATGTAAATATTTATTAATTACCTGATCTGCCTCCGAAGATTCATGTTCACCTCCTTCAGCTTCTTCAAATGCTCTTGCATTGCCTGCAGTGCACACACATTAACTACCACAAACATTTACGCATATAAGCGTATTGCAAACGCTAACCAATTAGTAACTTAAAATGAAAAACGAACGAGGAATACCTCGTAGTGCGAGCTCCAAATATCGATTCCAACAGTCTTCCGGTACTGATCCAGCAATTGCTTTGTTCTGGTTAAGCACAAATTCATCACTTAAGCAAACGATGAAACCCAGAAAATCCAACAGTTTGAAGAAAAACCTAGGGTTTTAGAGAAAATGAGAGGGGGGAGAGAGAGAGAGTGAATGGATTACGTGGTGGAGGGGCTAATGTACTCGTGGACTTTGCCGGAGCTCGAAACCATGATGAGAGAGACCTCGGCGTCGCAGAGGACGGTGAGCTCGTTGGCCTTCTTGAAGAGTCCGTTCCTTCGCTTGGAGTAGGTCACCTGCCTGTTGGTCGAGTTCTCTATCCTCCTGATCTGGATCTTCCCTCTCGCCATCTCTCTCTCTCTCTCTCTCCTCTCCTCCTCCCTCTCTCTCCTCAAATCCGATCTGAAAATATGAATATCTGAAATTCCGAAACGATTAGATTTAATAGAACAAAAATAATTAACAAATAATTAAGAGGAGATTAGGGTTGCAGAAGGGAATTTACCAGAAATAGAAAGGGTTTCGGGTTAAAATCGGGTCGGATTTCGATGTGTGGGGACCCATTGATGGAGATGGAGCATCGTACGTCCGCTTTCCGTTCTTCACCAAATCACGGTTTCCGTTCTGATGTAACATCCTACGGCCTACGGGGTTTGATAGATTCAGTCAGGGCTACCCTAGCTAGCCAAATTTTTAATGGTAATTAGAAAGGAACCAAACGGCTAGTTTTAAGGCGCGCTTTTGATAATTCAACCACGTGTTTGCCTTCCTTCTCACTGTTTTAGATAAATTGCATGAATCTATTAACTCGTTTGTAAGTGTTTTTAAAATAATTGAAAATTTTTTTTGATGAAAGTGTTTTGGGTTATAAAAGTACTTGAAGTATTTCGTGCAAGAAGCATATTTCGATAATTCACTTGTATTTTTTTTTTTACTGAAAATTGGTTTCAAAAGCAATCTTATAAAAAAACATTTTCAATCATTTTAAAAGTCCTTCCAAATGAACTCTATATCTATGTCAAGGAAGCAAAAAAATCTTTAGGCATTGTTGAACTTAATCGTTGGTGGGATGTATTTTAAGAGTTGTTATAACGGTAAATTTGACTCAAATCTCTTGATCCACGTGTTTCAGACCTAGAGATCCGAAATAAATCTAGATCCACAAATAATAAGACAAGAGTAACATTGATATATACAATTTAGCCAAACGTTTTTTGCCATTTATTTATTGGCAAGAATAAAAACCAGTGGTCAAAGAGAAGGCATTGGTGGATGCAATTAGATGTTTCAAAATTGGAACCCCTGGATTTTTCCCTGCAGGCGTGGTTAGGGCGTCGTAGGCTGGAGCAAGTAGGCTTGGGACAATCACGAAATTTGAACATGTTAACGTTGTTCAAACCTTCAAGTAAAGTCAATGTCAAATCTCTCACGCGTCTAATCGTATTTGACCCCCGCCCAATTTCATGCCTCAAAGGGATCTCTTCTATCAAATCCACATAATGCACCAATCAGAACCTTTGAAATTTGATCAAACAACTACGAACAAGAGGTCTTTTAAAAGTTATAATAACTTTAGTTGTTGGATCAAATTTGAAAGCCTAAATTTGTGGATTTGGTGGCCTATTATGTTAAAATGGTAGTTACATAATGGGGCCCTCAACAAGGGAGGCAATGGCCCAATTGCTTCATTGGGCTATGTAGAAGGGCGAGGCCTTATGCTTAGCCCAGGCTGGGACAAAATAGCAGAGCAAGTACAAGTATTAATAACATAGCAAAAATGCATTCCTCGTCATTAATATGTTTGCTCGCAGTAATTGTGACCTCTCGGGTTCTGCTCTTCTCTTTTCGTTTTTATTCGTTGATTCTGTTTAATTTATTCAATGAAAAAATTGAGAAAAAAAATGGTCGAGTGCTAGAAAATAAAGAGTGCGAAAATCATTTCTCAATATCAGTTCTACTTGATTTATAAGTGAAAGGAATTGTAAGTCTGAAAAATTGATCCAAAACACAGTACCAAACATGAATTTTCTCTTACATTAATCGAGAAGTTCATGAATAGATGAATCCTAACAGTTATGTATTAGTATATTTGTACGTCAAATAATATCGATACATTTCTGTTTGGTTGACAACGAAACATAAGCCCGAAAGAAAAGGAAAGATTATATAAAAATATCACGAACCCATGAGACCCCAACTACATCTGCAACTAGCAATCGATGACAAGAAAGAGCATGCTCAAAAAAGACTGAATCCAAACTGCATGACAAACCTCCGGCTATACCTGTATTTTGTACGTTTGTCACACTCGTACCCCGTTCGAAAATAATTTCTATGTATACAAAAATTGTACAAACGACGGCAGTGCATCACTCGTCCTCCTCGCTGAGCAATGCAAATGAGAAGGGATAGAATTTGTAACCGGAGCCCTCATAAAACTTGTTCTGGAACTCCACCCAGTGAAGCCTCAAGGCATGTAAGAATGCACTCAAGGTCTCCATCACTAGCAGCACTCCGACTGTCGCGCATGTAAAGACGATTATGCCAACGATCAGAATGATCACATTGTTGTACCTGTAGTGATTCCGAAACCATTCATTACTCCGATAATTTGAGGTCTCGACTTCTGTGACGAACGAAAGATGAGTAAAACTGTGAAAGAACTTACCCCCAGGCTAGAAGTAGAACCTTGTCGTAAAATACACTGGACAACTCCGAATGAGCTAAGCTGAAGAAGGCAAAACAAGGGCAAACAAGACGATGTAATATGTGAACCGTACTGAGTTAGATGCCTAATTATGCTTCAAGTCGATGCTATTAGATGGTTGTAAGTTGTTATTCACTCACCTGAGTGCCCATAAACGTAGATATGAAGCTGTATTAGACACCGCTCCAAGCACAAATTCTATGGTATGTATGAGTTGGTGTACGAAGACCTCGGTGAATTCAAATTCCTCATGACCAGGCAAACTTGGGTGGTGCTCCTCGTCAAGAGGGTCCTCGCCGCTGTGAAGCAGTGAGTAGGATTGACCTTGGTGCCTCTGAGAGAGGTAATAGGCCAAAAGAGAAAGACGAAAAAGAATAAATGCAAAGTATAGAGACTGTAGGACACAAGAAACAGATGTTGAGATATGATAAGACTTTAGTTTCAAGTTTACCTCCTCATGCTGTTTCTTCAAGAAATAAGGCTTTGGAAACAGCATCCATGGTACAGCAACAAGAGCCGATAGCAGTAACAAAATCTGTAATTAAACACACGGAAAAAGAAAAAAAAATTGTTAGGAATAGTGTCACTCTTTCGTACTGATTGAGAAATTTTACAGCATAATTGAAGAAGAACAAACCTGAAGGAATCTTTGCCCCCAAAAAAGCTGATTTTCACCGAGGTTGTCAGTAGGACTCAGGAACATGTATATCATTACATGATACAAATCGGCTTGTGAACCAGTGCACCATTTCACAATAATTAGGAGAGAAAGGTAGCCAAACAGGCTGTTTAAAAATATCATCTGAGGAACAAATTGGTACCTAAAAGAATAAGGTTAGGTTGTCAACATTAAGAGAGTAACTCATAATCTTACACATGCATTCTCCGAAAGAGAGTGAACAAGATAGAGGAGAAGAAATACATATCAAGTTTCACATTTAAGGTGGACGGGCATGTCATGCGAGATATACGATATCCCAAACAGTCACACTAGAGATGCTTTATAGGAAGTATGATACACATAAAGATAATTCTTTTTTTTTTTTTCTTTCTTTTTGCGCGGAGAGATAAAAGATAAAGATAATTCAATTTCAACCACACACTGATGGAAATTCCTACTCCTATATATATATATGCATATATTAATGCAAGATCGAGGTTGAGTAGTATAGCTTACCAGATATTCAGTTTATCCGCAAAGAATTTTGCATTAAAGTAACTCAAAACAATTCCAAGATTCATCTGGGCTACTCCAAGTAGGATTGACATCTTCATCTTCAATGAGTTAAGAAATGGTAACTCAGATCGAGAACCATGCCATTTGGGATCCACACCAAACGGATAAGTGTCACGAACCTTAGTCAAACCAACTGTAGTAGCGTCTCTGCCACAAAAAAGAAACCCAAGTTTAATCAACTCAAATGGGATTGAGAGACCACACATATGTTAAGGATCTCAGGCTGATTGTGTACCTACAAGACGGGTCACGGCACCCATAGGCAGATTTCCCAAATAACTCAAATGGGACCGAAAAGAATTCATTATATATCAGTCCTGTGTAAATTGAGAACAGCGCCATCATCATAATAATATAACGGCCACCAAATGTCATTTCTACGATGTCCCCAAGTTTCTGTTGTCAACAAATCGAGTTAATAGAACCGCGTGAAAGTTAAAAGAAGCAAATAGTCTGTCTACGGTCACAAAGCCATGCAGCATTACCTGGCTAGCAAACTTCCTCTCCCGGATTATGAAATAGAGTGATGCCAGCAACAAGCAAATACCATGTCCCCAATCTCCAAACATTACAGCAAAAAGGAAAGGGAATGTGATAATGGTGTATACGCCTGGATTAGCCTCCTGATACTTGGCGACCCTGTGAGGATGATACATTAGACAAATTCTTCCCGAAATGATCTCATTCGGAAACATGAGTTGTGCAGTCTAAAGTAAAATAACTTAAGTAGGTTAGGAAATGGTCTTCCTTTCTGTTTAATGGAAGAGAAGGAAGACAAAAGGTAAAGAACTATAAAAATTATGTTTTACCATTATAAACAGGTTAAAAGAAATAAACAGGTAATTCCCAAACTTCCCCAAAAGACCTCACCCTCCCCCCTCTGCCACCCCTGCTCTCAGTCTACCAACTATCATGATCCTCCTACCGAGCATAGAGCAACACCTTGTATAGGCATAACTTGCAAAATGACTCACCCGTATGCATCAACAATTTCTTGAAAAGCAGAAGTGAATTTGTTTGTGCAGAAATATGTCGGTGGCGGTTCCTTTGTATGCAAAACCTGGAATATGGCGCCAAGTTGAGAGTTGCTATCTAAGGATGCCCGCTGCAGCACGTTTTGAATCTGTGAAACATCAAGCCTATGTTAATTGACAAATTCTTCAAACATACCTTGCATTTGCAAATGATTCATGCCAAGTTTTAGCATTGAATACAATTTTGGAAAGTGTTACAGGATAAAGATCAAACCTGGTTTGAAGCATATACAGGACACCAACCTTCTGCAACAAGACACATTCTACTCACATCAATGCTTAGCATGTTTAACGTATGGTAAATGGATTTTTCCTTCTTCACCTATCGAGGCATAAAGGAATAAAACTCACCGATCAAACAAAACTAAACTCATTGACTATGAAATACAAATATGAAAGGAGAATTAGTAGCTAGATGCATAAGTATTTGGAATAACAAACCAGAAGGTTCCACTGCTCATATTGATGGCCAATTGTCTGTAATAAACTGCTCCTGTGCAACAATCCAGCATCTATTGTAGTCTTCAGCTCTGAAAGTTTTCCAGACACCTAGAAATTAAAGTGGTTATAGAATTCAGAATTCAGATTACAGAACGAGTCAGTGACTGTAATTAAAGACGGACACACTCATCTCTTATTGAGCACAAAGTTTGATATTTTAATGATAATAAATCCAGACTATTTAAACTCAACATTTAAGGAAATCCCCTGTATAAAAGATATACACATACACACATTAATACAAACGGAAATTTTGAATCTAAACATAATTAAGTTGTGGTAAAGTAAAGCTGTTGATTCCACATATAGAGGTAAGAATACTGCATACCTCGTTAATCATCTGAAATTGTTTTCCCAAGTCATCTGTAAATGGGTAACGGTTTGCTCCAAAAGCTTCACATATTTTCAGAATTTTGTTCTTTGCCCTTTCTCCAGAATAGAAGATGATAAACACATTTTTCTCAACCTGAAATATATTAACTCGTTAATTTCCCGAAAAGAAAAAAAAAAGTATTCAATCATCCTGCAGGAAGACAATGATATCTAGGCATACTAGGATTCACAACATGAAAAAAGTACAGCATGGAGCAGGATTAACAATCATCTGTGCGAGTGCACTTCCACAATAAGTAAAATAAGACGGACAGTTCACAAAAGATATATATGAACATGAAATAGTTATGTTATTGAGTTAACCTTATCTCCTGACACAGGATCAACGACACGGTCATTGACCACAGCCTGCTTCAGAAACACATTACCCCTGGTTGCACGAAACAGAATCCTTTCAAAAGCCATCGATTTTTCTCTTGGAACAAGACCGCTAATAGATCCGAGCTTAACATGCTTTGATGGGTCTGTTGTCATTTCCTACAACAGAAAATACCTAAGCATCAGTCAAAGGATATGATAAAAGAATTTCATCTTAAACGAAACAAATGAAACCAAAAACTACAAATCTGCACTTGTTCGAGTAATAATGGACTGTCGATGGATCTTTCCGTACTATGCTGCACTTCAAGTTCTCTCCGCAGAGCTGCAGCAGTGCTTTGAGCTGAATTAAAAAACTCGCCAGCCTGAAACGAGTAAACAAGTTGAGTTCACTTTATGGATCACATGAAGGAAATCAATGACACAATAACAAATAATTACAAATGAATAAGTTAAGTTGCAGAATTTTTCATGACCGCAACAAACTAAAATGTAAACAACCCTCTCATAGAACTAACTGCAATTACAGTAAAACAAGCCATACCTTCTGCAGAACAAGTTTATATTCTAACAATTCACTGTAAGTGCGTTGTAATTGCTCGTTGTTCGCATTAATTTCTAACAGCTCGGCTTCAAGTTCACCAAGTTTAACCTAGCAAAGGGGGAAAATGATTCAATGTAGACCACAGAAAACTCAAAATATCAACTCAAGTACTGAAACTACCTCCAAGTTATCGAGATCGATGTCATTGCTAATCATGGACCTTGTTGAGGGAGACAAGCCAGCCTTGTTCATTTGTTCCTTGAAGAACCGTAACCTCCGAGCCATTTCACCACACCGTTTGATCTGCATCACACAATTTCAAATCCACAAACAAGATTTTCAGATCAACCATATTTTTTGCAAATCTACTCACAAAACCACAGATACCACGGCAATTAATCGCCGATTCCAAATTCCACATCCAATTATTTTCTGATAACACATTATTTCATATCGTATGAAATTAAATTGGTTCATTAATTCAAAAAATAAAAAATCAACGAACCTGAGTGGCGTATGTTCGCTGGAACGGGCTTTTTTCCGCATTGAGCTGCAAAAACAAAACAAAAAATCCAAAAAATGAACAGAAAATAAAAAATAAAAAAATTGAAAGGAGAAAGAGGAAATGCGAGAGCAACGATTACGTCTTTGAATTGAAAGAGGCCGAGATCGCCGAGGTAGGAGATGGCGTGGCGAGACGACTCGATCGGAATGATGAGTTGCACTAACTGCATTGGCTCCGACCGCAGCAGATCCATTGTCGGACAGCACCCTCCTCCCGCCGCTTCCGTCGTCCCCATTTTCCCGGCAAATTTTCACAAATCTGTTATTTTCTCTCTGGGTTCTTCAAACGTCAAACTGTTTTATTTTTCTTATTTATTTATTTCTGCGTCGTATACCGCACACCTACCGTTTTTTCCTTTTTTCAAACCTTTTACTTTACGTTGCGGCGTCGTTTTAACTTTGACGTGGCGCGGTGGGCGCTCTCTGGATCACATAGGCGGGGCAGCTGAAACGCAGCGTTTCGTGGAAGATCAGATAAATACTTGCATCTGGTATTGGTGGTAATTGTCAACGTCGCAATCACGTTTTTATTCTGATTCATAGGTTGACTTGGACTCTTCGATCAGTCAATTGGAGCCCATGAATGTCGGTGGCCCAAGTTTAATTTCATGACTTAAAAGCCCCTTCAAATTGGATTTCGCACTGATTCCATTAGCAGGGTCCAGGCCCACTACAATTGGCTACAATTTTGAATTTTAATTATTTTGTGGCTATATTGCCAAAGAATGTAAAAAAATAAATAATCATTTCAAAACTTCTTTGGTAAATAGATCTGTATTTAGTCAAGCTGCCTAAAATAGTATGCTTTTTTTTTTTTTTTTTAACAAACGATAATGTCTATAGAGGTTGGAGAGTGGTGTAAGCCTCACAACGACGTTTAAATTCACCTTTGACGAGAACTGAACCTAACACCTCTCACTTACAAGTAAAAAAAATACCACTAGACCGTAATAGTGCATTTTCCCTTACCACCCATGTATGAATCGTTTCCTTATAATTTAGATGAATTTTGTACTGACAATCTTATTCTGAAACTAGGGTTTTCTATATGAGAAAAACCCATCCTTCCCAATAAAATTTCTACTAAAAAAAAAAACATTTTTATGATATGTAAGATAAGAGACTTTAAACTCAACCAAAACTCTGAAAAAAAAAAATTCATTAAACATCTTAACATAAAAATGGTGGATGCAATACATTTGAAAAACATTTGTGTCGAGTACATTTCTTTAGTAGTGTTCTTGTAATATAAGTGTGCTGAATTGAATGTTAATAAGAGGAGTGTATTCAGTTGGGATTTTGAGGAATTTTGATGAATTTTATAAATTATGAATCCTGATGGAGTTTAATTAATTTTCATGAATTTTTTTTAGTGAATTCTCTCAAAGAAGATGTGAGATTTGTGAATGTTTAAAATTCACTATAAAATCTCTCTAATTCCCTCGAATTCCTCAATTTTTTAAAACCCTATCAATTTATAATTCAATACACCTAAACTTTCAAAGAATGACTTAAAATCATAATTTTTGTTTTCAAACAAACGATATTATCTACACTAAGGGGAATGGAGTATGTTTAACCTCACAATGGGCTAGCAATAATGTGGTTCAAATTCACCTTTGGCGAGAATCGAATCTAAGACCTCTCACTAACAAGTGAAGAGAAATACTACTAGACCGTAATATTAAATAGCGACTTAAAATCATAATTGAATACCCCTGAATTTGTAAAAAGAATTAAAGACTAAAAGAAAATCATGTATTGGTCCGGGCAAATCCATATGTAAAATAGGAGATAAATAAATAGAAATGTTTTTCATGACCTTATTGAGATCCGACCAGAAATTTTTATTTTTTATTTTTTATGATTTTTGAGCAATTCCTAATTTAATCCTAAGTAAATAAATACTAAGGGACATGAATAAATGTAGATAGGCACAAAGTAAACATTTTGATTATACTAGTGAGCCTCCGTTTGGATGAAAGTTGCACTCTTCATAATTTAGATCCAATAAAGTTATCTCTTTTCGCTAGACATTAAAATGATAAACACACACCATTTTTCACATCCTTGTTTAATATTAAGAGAAATTAGGATGCAATCCCTAACCACCAAAATCATTTGATTGAAATCCTATTGATTTTAAATTTTTGATCAAAGTCCTTCTACTTTATACACATTAACATATTTACATTTAAAACTTTATGCCATCCATAAATGTAATTAATTCATTTCTTTACAAAATTTCATAAGATTAGTGAGAACTAATCAATTCCTACATATCAGGCAAAACAAAATATGTTTTTGTACATAGATTTTTATTTCATTTATATCTTAGTTTGAATTCAAGTTATTTCTTTAATGGGTACATGTGAATTTAAATGTACCCATTGATGCATTTGGGATATTTGTACCCATAAAATTGTTATGGTTTTTCTGGACTTGTTACATATACAATTTTTATAACGTGTATATTTGAGTTCCACGTTACAATTGATACATTCTTTCTCACAATTCCTTTGTTAGGGTACAATTACAGTGGGTACATATAAATCCGAGATAATATTATAGATGGGTACAAAGATGAACACAAAAGGCAGGTTTAATTTGCACTTACTATGTAGAAAGCCAAAAGAAAATTTTGGTTCATGGGTACAAAGATTGAAACATAAACAATTGTAACACAAATATACTACAATTAACGGTGTTATGATTTTGTACTCTGCAACTTTTGGATTGCTTGGGTGATTTTACAGAAGACAATTGTGTGTGGGTTCTAGTTGGCTAGGTTGTACCCACTAGTAAGCAGTGCAGATTATTTCAAATTCGAAAATCAAATTAAACTCATATTTGGTGTGCCTGATATCACTAATATGTGATATAAATTTGGGATAATTTGGAGGTCTTAGTGGAAAGGTTGTAATTTAAGGTGCACATATGTTCATCGTTAAGATGAGCTAGCAAAATGTAATTTATCACAATGTAATAAATAGAGGACTTGAATTAAAGTTTTTAAACTAATAAGATGTGAGTCTATAATATATGATCAAGTGGGACCGGAAACTAAGTGTCCCTTAATATTATTTGTTGCTTTTGATGGTAAAAAACAAAGAGAGATGTATGAGAAGTTAAAATACGTGCGTGCAAATCATTAAAAAGCAAAACAATGATCTCTCTTCATTGGCCCCTAAGTAGATTTGCATAAGTGGTGGATTGCCATAGGATATTATTCTTTAATTCACTGCGTTCCAAGTTCAAACATAATCACTCTTACTATAAATTAAAGAATTGTTATTAGCACTTTAAAAATCTCATTTGACATTCCACATTTTTTATAATTAGAAAGAAAAATACATTTGTGAGGAGCGTAGAATAAAATTTTCAGAATGCTAATAACAGTTTCCTAAATTAAAATAGATATCACTTGTAATAAAACAGATTTACAAAAATGGAATTGTTATTAGCACTCCAAAAATCTCATTCTACACTCCAGACTTTCTATATTGGGAAAGAAAAATACATAAAGTGTAGAATAAAATTTTTAAAGTGCCAATAACACTTATCTTACAAAAATTGTAAATAATTAAATGCAAAATCGAAAGTAAGATGCCTTGAAGTCAGGGCCGGCGGGATTGAGGATGATGGCAGGCGTTATGGCCTTCTTGTAAACAAAAACAATCACAAGGATTAGCAGGAGCACCGCAAGTACATACAGATTACATACATACATATCCTATGTATATTCTCACAGTCACACACTGACTGCAACAGAAAACCTAGCAGTAGCAGCTATATATACGTAGCGGTAGCAGACGCGGATGTGTTCTGGACCACCGTCGTAGTTAAACCGCAATCCGCATGCGGCCTGGCCACAACCCTACGCTCCGCCTAGCCCTGCTCACCCTATATCTATATATAATATATAATAATCAAATATTATATATATATATGTATATATTAGGAGGAAGAAATGATAAACCCTAGCTGCATTTGTTCCACTAGATGATCTCATAAATTCTACAAGGGTTTTTTTTTTTTTTTTTTTTTTTTTTCCATCTACGTAGCTAGATAGAGAAAAGCGGAGGGATATGGATAAAGAGATGGGGATGGACTACGTGCACACGGCAGAGAGCTACAACTCGATATCATGCCCATTTCGTGTCCCCTAATTAGCGATGTGATCGCTATTCTGCTCGACCGCTTTATGTGCTTCAACGGCCGAGCGGGTGAGGTAAGTTTTCAAAAGCGGATGTCCACCTCTTTGCATTCAAGTTTGAGTCTTTTTTTTGTGCAAAGTAATATAATTTAGACTTTTGTTCTATCAATAGAAATCTTGAAAAATAAGTTCCGCACACACTTTTCAGTCTCTTTTTACGTACCCTTTGTCACATCCTAAGTCTGCTCCACCACCATAGCACGATATTGTGCTCTTTGGGCCCTGACGACGTCCTCATGGTTTTGTTTCTGTGAATTCACACGAGAACTTCCCAGTGGGTCACCCATCATGGGATTGCTCTCGTGCGCTACTCGCTTAACTTTGGAGTTTCCATGAAACCTGAAGCCAGTGAGCTCTCAAAATGCCTCGTGCTAGGTAGGGATGAGAATATAATCACTCTCCTGGGCGATGTGGGATCTTACAATCCACCCCCCTTTAGGGGCCCGACGTCCTCGTCGGCACACCACGGCCAGGGTTAGACTCTGATACCAAATTGTCACACCCCAAGCCTGCTCCACCACCATAGCACGATATTGTCTGCTTTGGGCTCCGACGACGCCCTCACGGTTTTGTTTCTGGGAACTCACACGAGAACTTCCCAGTGGGTCACCCATCATGGGATTGCTCTCACGCGCTACTCGCTTAACTTGGGAGTTCTCATGGAACCCGAAGCCAGTGAGCTCCCAAAAGGCCTCGTGCTAGGTAGGGATGAGAATATACATATAAGGATCACTCCCCTGGACGATGTGAGATCTTACACCCTTGTTGCGTGTAAATTATCCTTTAATTGATTCAATTTGAAAATAAAATAACTCATGAGCCTATAACGTTTCCCTTACTATTTATTTTTCTCTTGTGCATGCAGGGATCCATATTTAAAATTTACTAATAGGGAGACTACTAGTACAGTAGTTCTTATATAGACCCCACATACATCACTGGTTACTATTAAACACGCATCTCTCTCTCTCTCTCTCTCTCTCTTACCGCGAGCCCTAATTGACTCGTGATGATCTGATAATTCTGAGCACAAAGCCAGAAAATAAGGGTGATTGATTGCATACATAGTAGTAGTGCAGTTTTAGGTCAGTAAAGTCAAGCGAG